TGTATATAATTATCTTGTAAAATGTCTTTTTGAAATTAAAAATGTTGCAGTGTATAAACAAAGGAATTTAAATAAAAAAAAATTACATCTTTATATGCTCTTGAAAAGTGTCAGAGCCATCAATTCCTCACGTAATAACGAATGTGAACATATCTCAATATTTTCACACAAAATCTGCGGTAGATTTATGACCCTGATACTTCTTCGTGATTCCTGTCGAAGCAATCAGTGACGCGGCACTATGAATATGTCATCCGGTATCAGAGATCGACCGGAAGGGACTCCGGTGGCATCTATATTTCCGTCGTACCTACTACTGCCATCACGTGCCGCACTTTGTACGTGCCTCACCAGCACGTCAGAGCAGCAATAATCCGCGTTCGTAAAGCGATGCCCTGCTTCACGACGTTCCTAACGTAGCGATTTCGTTCGACGCGGTTGAGCCCGGCGCGCCCAACAACATCGTCCATCGGCTTTTATTGTCGCCCAAGGTAAAGTACGTACCTGAGCGAGTAGACAGTTTCGAGCGGCTGAGTAGTAAAACTCAACGTCAGGCCGGGCGCACGTAGGACCGCAGGCGTAAAAATAAGGCACTCTGCCGTTCCTCACGTGCCAGGAATATCGTCGTGGAATAACGGCGAGCATGCCATCGCGGTATAGTTTAGACGACGTTCTTTCGAACGTATGCGTGTGGTAAAAGTGAAAAATGAGGACTTTTAGTACCTGTACCGGTACATCAAACTGTAATCGTATGTGAGAGCAATCCAACAACAAAATATCGCTTGTCGAAGATTTATTGAACATTCTTCTATTTACCTTCTCTTTTTTTATGATACTATAAATGAAGTGTGTATTTTAAAAATTCGATTATTTTTTATATTACCGAATGATTCTAAAAAATTCATTGGCGAAGAGTTAAAAATACTGTAAAGCAATAGCATATAATATTTTCTATTTTTATAGCCACTCTTTTAAATAATATATAACTTTTATCATTTTATTAACGCTTTGATTTTTCATTTTCCTAATGAATAATTTTTATATCGGTATTTGTTTAATGCGTCTATTTTTATTCTTTGTATTAATTTCTTCTTTATAATTTTTATAATAAAAAAATGCGCAAATATGGCAATTATGCTGAAATTAAATCATAATTCTCAGTTATTACATTCCTCGGGTTTCATAAAGCTAGAGACATATCTATTTGTTCCATATTGTTCCAGTTATATAGTCACGTTAATCAGAATGAGAGTGCATGTGAAAAAAGAAGATATATGTGTATCTGTTGTTAACTATAAAGAATAGTTTCGCCGTTTGGATTTATGATCCCACGGAGAGCCATATTTTCGTTCGCGTTGCTAATCATGAGTAAGTACACTCATCTCGTTCCGCAAAAGTGGATGTGTGTTCGAACCGTAAAAGCGACTGCTCCACGATAACACTATTACATTCTTTCGAAAAACCGATAATTTCACGGACGAAAATACACATCCGAAAACTCGAGATCTCATATAAGCGAAAACTACCCGTGTTGTTCGCGGTTTAAAACAGTATGGAATAAACGGAGCAAATTAGTTATATTCCGCATGGCGCGAGATTATTTTGATAGAATATCCTCGCAGTTTTTGGTGGTAGACGGCTCATCGTCATCGTCACTGTGTCGTTGTTTGGGAAACTCTCTGACGTTTGAATTCTCGCGTCTTATTCGCCTCCGCGAGTGACGCGTAGCGCGCCGGAAGAAGAGGCGCTACGAGAGGCCGTTAGTGCCTAAGACGAACGCTTGAGGCGCTAGCCTCTTCCTTCGTCGTCCCGCTAAGCCGAGTCGGCTTCTGTTCGCGATCCTCTCTTGAAAAAAAAAACAAACGTGAATCGTTGCTTAGGAATCCTTGTTGGTCGATTCTCTACTGTCCGTGGAGACGCTTAAGTTCAGTGATAAAAAGGTTTCCGTTCGGTTCAGACATTGAGGAGAGATTGATTTGAATATATAATTCTTTTGGAAAACTACGAGCTTGGACGCTTTGGAACCTTTTAAGGTTAACTATGAGATGGGACATATCTCTTGGTTTGGAGGACAAATTCCCTTGAGTTCGCCTGATGAGGAAAGAAAAAGAGCCGTTTGTATTCTTAATTAAAAGGATTCGACAAGGTAACAAGTCTCTCAAGACTGGCCTAGCCAGGATTCTATTAAGACTGGCCTAGCCAGGATTCTTTCAAGACTGGCCTAGCCAGGATTCTATTAAGACTGGCCTAGCCAGGATTCTTTCAAGACTGGCCTAGCCAGGATTCTATTAAGATTGGCCTAGCCAGGATACTAAAGTCATTCACATCTATTTAACGTATTGAATCTATTCGCTGCTACGATACCTTTTGTCTGGTTTAACGTACTAATTTATATGTTTATAAAATACTAACGTCACTTATGGTTGTTGATCTCACCAAGACTTATGTTTGATTGACGTCTTGATTTATATGTGTTTAATACTTATGTTTGACTTGACGTCTTGATTTATATGTGTTTAATACTCATGTTTGATTTGACGTCTTGATTTATATGTGTTTAATACTCATGTTTTGATTTGACGTCTTGATTTATATGTGTTTAATACTTATGTTTGACTTGACGTCTTGATTTATATGTGTTTAATACTTATGTTTGACTTGACGTCTTGATTTATATATGTTTAATTCTCAAGTTTGATTTGACGTCTTGATTTATATATGTTTAATACTGTTGTTTGATTTGACGCCTTGCTTTTTTATGTGTTTAATACTTATGTTTGGTTTGACGTCTTGATTTAAATTAGTTTAATACTTATGTTTGATTTGACGTCTTGATATATATATGTTTAATATTTATGTTTGATTTGATGTCATGTTTTATATATGTCTAATCCTTATATTTTATTTGACGTCATGAAATTATCATATCTTTAAGACATTTATGTTTGACTGAATTAAATGAAATTCTATATACCGTTCAGATATTCTGTTTTCTACATTTAACGGTGACTTATTAATTGGATATAATATCTATTATATTCCTTAAGCGTTAATATATATATATATATATATATGTGAAGATTTGATCATAATGAGTAAAGTTGATAGTATGTTTCTCTCACAATAAATTTCTGTTATTATATTTTATAAAAGTCCACCAACTCCCTAAGTATATCCGGAACATTTGGTCCTTCGAGCCGGATACTTAGGTGAGCCAGATATTTATGTAAGCCGGATTTTATATGAGAACTGGATAATTTGGTTGAATTGGAAATACCATCAAAGGATTAATACCACCGATAATCTATCTTCAAGCATCATGAGGATTTCTCACGTGGAAGCTCGCATCGAGCAGCAGATATCTTTGAGTGCCCTGATCTTTCAAGCAATTGAAAGCTTCAATAAAATTCCAACGACTGACATCACTTCAAGGCTGATTAAAGCTCGTGTTACAGCTTTAAATGAGAATTGGGAAAAATTCTCTATTGTTCATGAAGCAGTTATTGTAGCTGTCAATCAGCTCAGTACAGAAGACAACGAGTTGATTCGAAATCACACTTATTTTGAAGAGGATTGCTATGCTCGAACGTATGAGCAATATCTGGACTCTCTGGACAAGATGAACGCTCATCACGACTCGGATTTTACTATTCCAAGGACATCTTCAACTCAATCTCTCTCTCAACCTGTATCTAACCAACTGGCTGTTTCTCATCACACAAGACTCCCTCGAATCGACCTGCCGAAATTCAGTGGAAATGCTTCCGAATGGATGTCCTTCAAAGATCTATTTTCTTCCATCATTATTGGAAATATAAGCCTAAGTCCGGTCGAAAAGTTGCAATATTTAAAAGCCAGTCTGACTGGCACTGCAGCTTATCTCCTCAAGAACACGGCTCTTACTGCGGATAATTTCCAAAAGGCTTGGACCGATCTGATCTCGTTTTATGAAAACAAACGACTACTTGTAAATTCAGCAATTCAATCGTTGCTCTCCCTCAAGAAGATCGCGAAGGAATCCTCCAGTGAGCTCGAGCGTCTTTACACCAACATCATGCAAATTTATCGCTCACTAGAGACGCTACAACGCCCAGTTGAACACTGGGATGATTTTCTAGTGTTCCTAACCGTTCAAAGGCTGGATGCCGAATCCGTTAAAGTCTGGGAGCATCATCTCGGTTCCACAAAAGAACCTCCGACTTGGAAACATCTGTGTGAGTTTCTTGTTACTCGCCTTCTCTCTTTGCAGGCCTTTGAAAATTCGCAAAACTTGCCAATAAAAAAGAAAATCCCATCGCAAGCAGTTAAGGCCTATCATCAGATTCAAAAGAAAAAATGGCTCACAATTCTCCTCAATCGTGTGCTCTGCCAAACATTTCTTGAGCGTTTGCCCTCAATCCTCTCAAACTACGTCTCTAATCACAAAGCTAGGATTATGTTACAATTGTTTGGGGAAACATCGAGTTTCAAAATGTCAATTCGACGATGTCTTAAGTGTGGTAAGAAGCACCACACTACGTTTCCCAAGATGGAAAGTCACCCCATTGGTTAAACCATCCACCGAAACTTCAGGCAAGACCACTCCCTCGCAAGTATTGCATGCCGCTGTACATGCTAATCAGGCGTCTATGTGCACTCTTCTCGCCACCGCTCAAATGTTAATTGCCAACGAAAATGGACGTATCATGAAGATCAAAGCCCTTATAGATCAGGGATCGGAGATCAACATCATTTCGGAAAAAATTGTCCAAGCTCTCAAGCTTCCTCGCTCCAAATCAAGTATTTCCCTGATAGGTGTCGGGGAACATTCTACTAACAAGACTCGTGGCATCACTTTTTTCAAGATTATTTCTCTCCATGATTCATCAGAAGAATTCCACATATCAGCGCATATTCTCCCTAGCTTAACGAGTTCGATCCCGTCAAGTAAAGTCTCCGGAGAATCCTGGTCACATCTGGATGGATTGCCTTTAGCCGATTTTCAATATGGAATTCCCAGTTCGATTGATCTAATCATCGGTTCCAATTGTTACCCTCAGATCATTAAGGACGGTTTAATCAAAGGTCCGCCGAATACGCCTATTGCACAATTAACCTCGTTTGGTTGGATCCTCTCCGGCCCCGCTTCATCGGAATCGACGAATCGTTCTATGCGAAGTTACCATATTTCAATGGATTCCCGCTTATATGACCTTCTCCATCGTTTTTGGCAACTTGAAGAAATTGGTGCACGCCAAGAATCCTTCATCTCCCCGGAAGATCAACAATGTGAGCAACACTTTAAAGATACCCACTCTCGGAACGATCAAGGACGGTATGTGGTGCGTCTGCCCTTCAAGAAGCCTCCTCAACGTTTAGGAAACTCTTATAATCGAGCTTCAAGAATGATGGATTCTCTGCGAAATCGGTTTCAAGTGAACGCAAAATATGCGGAAGCCTATTTCAAATTTATGAGGGAATATGAAGACCTCCAGCATATGAAATTAATAACCGATGTAAATGAAGAACTTTTACCTCCCAATTTTTATCTTCCTCATCATGGAGTGTGGAGGGAGAGTAGTACAACTACGAAACTACGAGTCGTGTTCAATGGATCAAGTCGTACAACATCCGGAATTTCTCTAAATGAGATATTGCATACAGGCCCAAAGCTTCAAGTGGATTTATTCAACGTTCTTATTTGGTTTCGGCAATTCCAATACGTCTTTTCTGCTGATATAGAAAAGATGTATAGGCAAATCCAAGTACACCCCGACGATTGGAGATTTCAACGCATCCGATGGTCGAATTCAGACAAGGATGTCAACTCTTTTGAGCTCACCACTGTTACTTATGGATTGGCTTGCGCGCCTTATTTAGCGCTTCGTACCATTACTCAGCTTATTGAAGATGAGGGAACCAATTTTCCATCAGCAGTTCCTTGCCTAAAACACGGACGATATATCGACGACATTTTCGGAGGAGCAGAATCAATTGGTGAGGTCCATGAAATCATCAATCAACTTAACCAGTTGTGCAAGGCGGGCGGCTTCCCGCTACAAAAGTGGTCTAGTAATCACGCTCATGTACTCCATCATCTACCACCAGAACGGTTGAGAAATCCGGATCCAATACCTTTTGATTTGGACTCCTGTGTAGCAGTACTTGGTCTACAGTGGAAGCCTACTGCCGACTACTTTCAATTTAGTCTAGATCGACCTTCTACGGCCACTATCACCAAACGAACGATATTATCCACGATTGCTAAGCTCTTCGATCCGCTTGGACTACTCTCACCTGTAATCATCAAAGCCAAAATACTTATTCAAGAATTGTGGATCAACAAACTCGATTGGGATGCGTTGTTACCAAGCACTTTGGCAAATCAGTGGATAACTTTCGTTGAGGAATTAGAAGACCTCAAATTCATCAATATTCCTCGTTGGCTTGGCATCAAATCGGATAATCAAGTTCAATTACACGGATTTTGCGATGCATCTAATCAAGCTTTCGCAGCAGTAATCTACCTCCGAACCGTGAACCTTGAAGACCAGATTAACGTTTGCCTAATTGCCACTAAAACGAAGGTAGCGCCTTTGAAGCGTCTTACCATTCCCAGATTAGAACTATCAGGAGCAGTACTTCTCACCAAACTAACCACGCACGTCCGTGATGTTCTCAACTTGAAGGACGTTCCTATTTACTTGTGGACGGACTCATCCATCACTCTAACCTGGATTCAGAACCATCCATCCCGATGGAAAGATTTTATTCAAAATCGTGTAGTTCAAATACAAGAAACACTACCTCAAGCTAAGTGGAAATTCGTTCCCGGCAAGGAGAACCCAGCTGATTTCGCCACCAGAGGTTTGTCGCCATCAAAACTCGCGTCCCAAACCATCTGGTGGAAAGGACCATGTTGGCTTTCACAATCGATTGATTGTTGGCCAGATTGCTTCCCTTCAACTGCTACCTCGGATAATCTTGAAGAAAGACCCACCAAAGTTTATTCACTCATAACCATTGAACCGCAACCCCCATGGGATTTGTTAACAAGATATTCCAATCTCAATAAGCTCTTACGCATTACGGCTGTGTGTCAGAGAGCAGTTGAACGATTTAAACGGATCAAAATTAGTCCAAGAGAACTCCTCAGCACGACTGAATTAGAGTCCGCTAAACTCTATTGGATCAACAGCATTCAACGGCAACACTTCGCTCATGAAATCAAGCTTTTATCACGAGGAGAGTTCCTTCCTAAGTCGAACCCACTCACCAAATTGACTTCATACATTGACGCATCCGGGCTCTTAAGAACGGGTGGTCGGCTTCAGAATTCAACGTTACCTCCAGAAAGGAAACATCTTCTAATCCTCCCAAAGCAATCGCCATTAACGGAGCTCATTATCCAAGATGCTCATCTGAGAACTTGCCACGGAGGTACACAAGTAACGTTAACCCTCCTGCGAGATTCTTACTGGATCATTGGAGGTCGGTTGCCGATAAAAAATTTTATCCTGCGTTGCGTCATTTGCACAAGATACAGACAAAAGAGAGCGCAACAGCTCATGGGACAGCTTCCGCCTGAACGAGTAACACCGACTTCACGCCCATTCATCAACACCGGAATTGACTACGCTGGCCCCCTTCTCATCAAGACCTGGAGAGGAAAAAATGCGCGGCAGTACAAAGCTTACATTGCCGTATTCGTTTGTTTTGCCACATCAGCAACACACCTCGAACTTGTTTCAGATTATTCCGCTGACGCCTTTATAGCAGCATATAAAAGGTTTACTGCTCGACGAGGAATCTGCGTTAACTTGTTCAGTGATTGCGGTACTAATTTGATAGGAGCTGACACGGAGCTAAAGAAATTACTCTCTGAAGCATCTCAAGAACATAAACAATTGGCCTCCCTACTCACCCAAGACGGAACACAATGGAATTTCAACCCGCCTAGTGCTCCTCACTTTGGCGGCAAGTGGGAAGCAGCCGTGAAATCGGTTAAGTTCCACTTAAAGAGAGTCCTTGGTAATCACTTGCTTACCTTCGAGGAAATGACAACACTTTTAACTCAGATCGAAGCGGTTCTGAACTCAAGACCTTTGTCTCCTCTTTCTGACGATCCAGAAGACTTAGCCGCATTAACACCTGGACATTTCATCCTAGGACACGCACCTACAGTTCTACCAGAGCCTTCGCTTGAACACATTAATTTGTCACGCCTATCCAGATGGCAATTGTTACGACAAATGCTGGAAAGTTTCTGGTCCCGATGGTCTAAAGAATGTCTTCAACGGTTTCACGACACCTCTAAATGGAGTCATCCGACACCCTCTTTGAAGAACGGAGATATGGTACTAGTAGTCGACGAAAGGTATCCACCTTCCAAATGGCCTCTAGGTCGGATCGTTGACACACATCCCGGAAAAGACGGCCTTACTCGAGTAGTCACGGTAAAGACTCAAACTACCATGTTGAAACGACCCGTCGTCAAACTCTGCCCATTGCCCATACACCAAGATCCTTTGTTGGTTCGTTAAGCCGAGTTAACGAAGGCGGGCGGTAATGTTTGGGAAACTCTCTGACGTTTGAATTCTCGCGTCTTATTCGCCTCCGCGAGTGACGCGTAGCGCGCCGGAAGAAGAGGCGCTACGAGAGGCCGTTAGTGCCTAAGACGAACGCTTGAGGCGCTAGCCTCTTCCTTCGTCGTCCCGCTAAGCCGAGTCGGCTTCTGTTCGCGATCCTCTCTTGAAAAAAAAACAAACGTGTATCGTTGCTTAGGAATCCTTGTTGGTCGATTCTCTACTGTCCGTGGAGACGCTTAAGTTCAGTGATAAAAAGGTTTCCGTTCGGTTCAGACATTGAGGAGAGATTGATTTGAATATATAATTCTTTTGGAAAACTACGAGCTTGGACGCTTTGGAACCTTTTAAGGTTAACTATGAGATGGGACATATCTCTTGGTTTGGAGGACAAATTCCCTTGAGTTCGCCTGATGAGGAAAGAAAAAGAGCCGTTTGTATTCTTAATTAAAAGGATTCGACAAGGTAACAAGTCTCTCAAGACTGGCCTAGCCAGGATTCTATTAAGACTGGCCTAGCCAGGATTCTTTCACGACTGGCCTAGCCAGGATTCTATTAAGACTGGCCTAGCCAGGATTCTTTCAAGACGGGCCTAGCCAGAATTCTATTAAGACTGGCCTAGCCAGGATTCTTTCAAGACTGGCCAGCCAGGATTCTATTAAGACTGGCCTAGCCAGGATTCTTATAAGACTGCCTAGCCAGGATTCTATTAAGATTGGCCCTAGCCAGGATTCTATTAAGATTGGCCTAGCCAGGATACTAAAGTCATTCACATCTATTTAACGTATTGAATCTATTCGCTGCTACGATACCTTTTGTCTGGTTTAACGTACTATTTTATATGTTTATAAAATACTAACGTCACTTATGGTTGTTGATCTCACCAAGACTTATGTTTGATTTGACGTCTTGATTTATATGTGTTTAATACTTATGTTTGACTTGACGTCTTGATTTATATGTGTTTAATACTTATGTTTGACTTGACGTCTTGATTTATATGTGTTTAATACTCATGTTTTGATTTGACGTCTTGATTTATATGTGTTTAATACTTATGTTTGACTTGACGTCTTGATTTATATGTGTTTAATACTTATGTTTGACTTGACGTCTTGATTTATATATGTTTAATTCTCAAGTTTGATTTGACGTCTTGATTTATATATGTTTAATACTGTTGTTTGATTTGACGCCTTGCTTTTTATGTGTTTAATACTTATGTTTGGTTTGACGTCTTGATTTAAATTAGTTTATTACTTATGTCTGATTTGACGTCTTGATATATATATGTTTAATATTTATGTTTGATTTGATGTCATGTTTTATATATGTCTAATCCTTATATTTTATTTGACGTCATGAAATTATCATATCTTTAAGACATTTATGTTTGACTGAATTAAATGAAATTCTATATACCGTTCAGATATTCTGTTTTCTACATTTAACGGTGACTTATTAATTGGATATAATATCTATTATATTCCTTAAGCGTTAATATATATATATATATATATATGTGAAGATTTGATCATAATGAGTAAAGTTGATAGTATGTTTCTCTCACAATAAATTTCTGTTATTATATTTTATAAAAGTCCACCAACTCCCTAAGTATATCCGGAACATATTTGCTTGTTTTATCTTAATTGAAGTTAAATTAAATTAAATCACATTATATTAGATATTAGAAAAGTCATGATATATTTGCAAGCAATATAAATTGTCTGCAAAATAAAACGAAAAAATTAAAAATATAAGATATTAAATGGATTTCTTTTTGTCATCTTGTAAGTGAATTACTTTCTTACTAATTTTATGTAACAGCACACTGATAGTAAAAAATAGTCGGGAAAAACTTAATCTTTATAATCCACTAAATTCAGCCGGATGTTTATTACAAAAAGACTTATTACACACAGATTACCATTGTTTACTATAGCTAAATGACAGAAGTGGATGAGATCAGAGAAAACTTTATAATATTATATATGACATAGCTACATTTAAATCTTGCTTTTTATTGTTGTTGTAATTCACAAGTTAACATATAATATATTATGTTATCAGAATTGCCATACGGTTTTATCGCATACAGGTGAATTAATAGATTAGACACAATGCAATGACACCGAATATCTCGATGAATTATGTGAAAGATGAAATGTTTTGGCACAAAATATTTGCATTATCGAAGTTTGAGAGATTTGGCCACTGTCTGTAACTTTGAGGGGGGATAGCGTGTTAAATCTCAATCGAAGTCTCAAACAACGTCGATTGCAAAGCGTGGGCCGCCGGTGAAAGCATTATCCTATATCGAATGCAATTCGCCTCTCGGAGAGGCTCGGCTTCGAGAGTTGTACCGATCGCATGAGGAGAGGAGAGGATCGGTCGCGAGTTGAAACTGCCGTTTGAGAGGCCCCTTAATTGCAACGCAGAGGGAAACTTCTCTCGCTGGAAACTTCGGACACTCGGGGAGGCCCGCAAAATGTTGCGACACGAGGCAAACCGTAAATACCGTGGGACTGCTGAGTCGTGGCGCTCTTCCGATGGCCGATCTCTTAACCCCGTTCAGAAGAACTTTACGAAGAGAAGACTCTCCAAAGCGGCAAATAGATTCGCGTGAGTTCTCAATGATCCCACGGATTAACTTTCCCGGCTCCTTCTAACGGGGTTCGGGCCAGCCGTGGGATATTCTATTTTATTTCGTTTCTCAAATACAGCCAAGGTTTATGATCATTTCGACCGATGTGGTTTGCAGCCACGTCTGATTCCATTCCGCAAATCTTCGGCGAAACTTATATTTCGCCGCGAATTGGTTTCCATTTAATACAACGAAATGTCGGACTTACTTTTTACAATTTATGTTCGGTACGCTGATATAGTATTCGTGTAGCTTTTGAGCGAACTAGTATGATATCAATCCACATTTACAGTTTTCTCGCAAAAATCGCAATTCTATATTTATTTTCTGTGAGTGAATTTTTTACTGTTTCAATTTTTCATAATATAATTATATTAGAAAATAAATTCTTAATTTAGAAAATATATAACTCAATAAATTAAATATAAACTCTAGTTTTGAAAATATATATTGAGCAAAACAGTTCTTGAGCTCTTCTTTGCTACTTTAAAAGTTTTATTTTATAAACTTAAAGCTTTTTAACTTTAAATTTATCGACAAACGTCTGTGAATAAAAATTTATAACTTTTTTATAATAGAATATATCTTTATAAAGAATATTTATAACTTTGTTTAATCTATTATTTTTAATTGATTTTTCTAATGTTCTTATGATTTTTCTATTGCTCTTATACCGTGATTATGTATTCATAGCTAGCTAGTTAAGAAGCTAGGTAAGAAGATTATTGGTATTGAACGGAAGAGATGATAAAAAACGTGCACAAACAGGAAACGTCGATACATCAACGAGAAAAGTGGACTCGCTATGAAAGAAACAATCGTTTACTCAGTCTCGATGAGTCTATAGACATTATGTGTACAATAGCATATCGTATTAGACCAGAGTGATAGATTGTGAAGATAGATTTATTAAACAAATTCTAGTGAATTTTCATCATTATTACATACAATTTTTATACTGTTATTTATTTTGATTAGATTTATTATATAGAAAAAATAATTAAAATATAGTGAATACATTAGAAAGTTTTACGTGTTTTAGGGATATATTTAATGTATGATTTATTTATACAATTCATGGTGTAGAAATATATACCAGAAAATAAAAGCAAATGCGAAATCTCTCTCTCTTCAAATAAAAATAAAAATCTATATGGAACAACATCTTACAATGAAGATGTGCTATATTAAAAATTGCATAATAAGAGTACTACATTTTTCTTCTACAAAAGATTATACAAAAGAATTATGAAATAAGTTATGATATTAATATCAAAGCTGGGTAAACAGGGAGAATTGAATTTAAATTTTGTCTGCGTAAGCGATGCTGATGCAAATAGAAAAAGGATGTGTAGTTTTCGTTAAAAGAATTCTGTTTGAGTGGATGTGCGTGTATGTATGAATGTAGTGAAATAATAACAAATCCTTCATATCATAATTCAAATTCGAGAGAGCCGGGTGATTAAAAACAGGAAGTGTAGCCGCGACTGGTGGGAAGCTCAACGAAGATGAAGCTTTGTAAAAACGTAGAGCCATTTGGCCGATCTCGATGGGCGAAATTTAGTACCTTCGCGAACGAGCGGGAGAGATCGATAGCTGTCGAGTTGGCTTTATTAAGTCCTCTCTCAGTTTCGCCCTACGGCGCAGTGCAAAAACCGTCGCGTAGGAAAGGCAGGAGAGGTGAGATTGGTCGGGTGTTAATCGATAGGGTCGTGTGTGGTGTACTTGCGTGACGACTCGATAATTAATTGGCTCGTAATACATACACGGGGATCGCGCACACATTTTGCGACACGTCGCGTTGCAACGAAGCCTGGTTACGTTGGTGGTATTATTTTATACATACACTGTATCGATGAAAATTTATTGCAGCATTTGACTTCCACGTGGAACGTATATTTCGGCGACAAAGGATAATTCATTAAAAGTGTTTGTCAACGTAGCAATACTGATAGCTATGTCGATCCGGCTTTACAGCAATGGTAACGAGCGAGTGTGCAATTTCTGTTGCTGGAAAATACAATAGCGAAGATATTACATCTCGCAACCTAGAAAAAGCACGTTTCTACGCGAGATTAGAAAAAAGAATCAATAGAGAATTGTGCTTTAAAAAATTATATTATAATACATATATCACAAACATGTTATACAACACATATTGTATAATTGAAACATTTTTTTTCTTTATTCTTGAAATGCTAGAGAATATTTGTTACTATTTTTATTTTTTTTTTATATCGCATATATGTATTAGGAATTGAAATATGCTGGCGTATTAAACTATACGCATACAAAGCGACGCGTTGTAATA